AATGGGGTAACTTGTTTAAGTGTATTTTAAGTACTAAGATGCATCAAAATGCAGGATTTTGGGTGCCGGACCTCCCATTACTTGGCCTCGAGTATTTTCAGGATTTTTAGGAAAGGGACACTTTCATTTCTGTGTATAATAACAATTACAAGAATGCATAGTTCAGTTGGATTTCTATTTAATTGGTTTTCAACACTTTTCCAGTTTAACAGTGGTATGAATACTAAGATCTAATACATATGTCTGTTCTAATGAAGTGAAATTAATCATTTACAGAGAGATCAGTACAATCTGAGAGCAATTGCTTTTGATAAAGGAATTCCCCAACATAGAGCCACTGTGGATGTAGCCATAGATGTAGTTAACAGAGATAATAACCCCCCTGTCTGGGATCAGCCTGTCTATGGTCCTATTACCATAAAAGAAAACATGGAAGTTGGACAGAAAGTTCTTTCAATCAAGGCTAGGTATGGTTACGAAGTTCTGGGACTCTAACAGAAAATTGCTGGCATTGAGTATAAGTTTTTAAATTTGATTGCTGAGCTTTGTTCAGAAGAGAGTTGTAGCTGCTATTTAAAAGACTTGCTTTTGTATTTTATCTGATTTTACTGTAAAAAAAAAAAAAAAAGTAGCAAAGGCCCTGTAAATGTTTAGTTGCATCCCATTTATATATATCTTCAGCTTTCATATCTATTATGCTGTTTTAAATAAGTAACTAATTACTTGATCTTGTATAATTTGTTTTTCTTATATATTGCTTTAAAACAGGCTAAACAACTTAATCTTTCATATCTATTATGCTGTTTTAAATAAGTAACTAATTACTTGATCTTGTATAATTTGTTTTTCTTATATATTGCTTTAAAGCGGGCTAAACAACTAATCCTTTAAACATTTTTTTAAGCCATTCATTTATCAAATATCAAATCAAAGTTAATGAAATAATTCACTAAGAAGTTTTACAAGTGCTTAAGTAGATTATAAAATACCTTATTTTCTAAGAGTTCTGTTTTGATTTTTCTCTATCAAAACATAAAGCTTATGATCATATTTTTGTTTTATTTAGATCTGGCATTCCTGACAACCCAACTGTCTTTTATACTTTAATGAAAGGAAGTACGGAGCAGACGAATAAAAAAGATACTTTCTATCTTAGTCAGAGATCAGATAATGACAACACGTTTGCAGACATCTATGTCAATTATCCTTTAGATTATGAAAAACTGCAGCAATACAATCTGACTGTTCGAGTAGAGGTGCGTAAAAAAACAACACTTCTTTGATTTTTAGACCTCAAATTTAATGTGTGTAAATTTGGTTCCTTTAAGTATTGTTAGCTTCCGTGTAGTTTCATTCACATCAAAATATATCAATTTGGAAAATCTCCTAAATTTGGTGTATGTGTGAAAGTACTATAAAATTAATTAATAAGAATTTGTTTTGACTGTTTTTAATCTGTTTCTGAAATTTGGGAGATGTTTATATCCATCCTTGTATCAATATAATCATGCGAGGTGACTGGTTTAGATTAAGTTTGTGAGTAGGAATTATGCACGTTAGTTCTACGTTGTTCTCATACCTAGCTGTGAAATAGTTTTGGCACCTGTTTTTCTTGTTTAATTAAAAGAACCCTCTGCAGAGTATTGTTTTCTTTTTTTTCTGTTCTTGCTGAAGAGAACATTTGCTATCAGTTCACTTCTGCATAAAATGCTTAAGCTGGTTCTTTATTCCTATCAGACATTTTTCATTTGAATCTGATTTGTAAGTACTACACATAAATAGCCTTTCGAATATAATTTGACTGTTGTGAGTTGATTTCACCTTTTAAATATGAAGTCTAATGAACAAGCCAACTGTTACATTTTATCAAATTTTGTATACACTGACAAAATGCATCTTTTCACTGCTTTGTGTAGTTTACTAACAATGCTTTTTTTTCTTCTTCTTCTCAGAATAATGGAATACAACAGCTGGCATCAGAATGCACTGTTTACATTATATTGGAAGATGTGAATGATGAAATTCCCCTCTTTATTGAGAGGGAGCAAGAAACGGTGTTGGAAGGTATGCCACCAGGTACTAAAGTGACTAAAGTTCAAGCTGTTGACAAGGATGGAACATACCCTCACAACAAGGTAACTTGCTATAATTTTAAGCTTTGTATTGCCATGACAAATAATAGGCTAAAAAAGGGGGGTAGCACAGGTGTGTGGGTAGTTAAAGAACTTGAATTTCAGAGAAGATGGCCAGAAAAGTTAATTAAAAATTGTGAAATACAAAATGAAAGCCTAGATAACTCAGATTAAATATGGTATTTTTCCCCCATGTTTAAATACATTACTTGTACTATACCATATGTACTAAAAACATTGTTAATACTGAAAGACCTAGATAACTCAGATTAAATATGGTATTTTCCCCATGTTTAAATACATTACTTGTACTATACCATATGTACTAAAAACATTGTTAATACTGAAAGACCTAGATAACTCAGATTAAATATGGTATTTTTCCCCATGTTTAAATACACTACTTGTACTGTACCATATGTACTAAAAACATTGTTAATACTGAAAGACCTAGATAACTCAGATTAAATATAGTATTTTTCCCCATGTTCAAATACACTACTTGTACTATACCATATGTACTAAAAACATTGTTAATGCTGAAAGACCTAGATACTTTTCTAGAAATTTAGGATTTTTTGGGTGAGATTTTCTATCATAACATGTAGATCTAAAAAACCAATTCAGATAATATATGCTATAGTTAAACTTAAATACACTTGCAGAAGTATTTGTGGTATACAGCATGAATGGATTGCTAAGTAAAATTAGAACAAAGCATACATTATGGTTGAAATTAAGTGTTATAAAAACAGTTAATTTGAAACTCATAGATTTTGATGTTAACATGTAGTTGTAATTTTTCATATAGGTGTACTATAGTATTGAAAATAAAGATGGAGGAGACCAGTTTTTCACAATAGACAGAGAATCGGGAGAGATCTACACAAAAATAGAATTTGATAGAGAAGAAAAACAGACATATGCAATTTTAGTGAGAGCAGAAGATGGTGCACCTTCTGATCGTCCACATAAGAAAGATGGTAGTCCTAATTCAGGTAAGAAAAGATTTCTTTATCAGATTGGATGTAGTTGGTTTTGTTTAGCTTGCTTTATGTGTTGAAGCAAGAGTAGGATATGTTATAGGAACTGTTACTGCAAGATGATAAATGTGTATAAAGAAATAAATATATGTGGGCATGTGTACACTTGTCTGTCTTTATGGGAGAATTCGGGTATTCAGGTCCCCATAACAATGATGAGCTTTTTTAATTATAAAAGACTTTCTTAAAATGTACAGAATTTTCACTTACTGTATCGCTTGTTGATTTAATGATTGAGACAAGTAATTATCATCTACCATTTAATGTTTGCCTCATTTCTGAAATTTAATTTAACCCTGAAGAAACAATTTGTGAACATTGTAAATTTTCCTGAAAATTGCATATCACTTAAACCTTAATATTATAAGGAATTGATTGGCTCTGTTATTGAGATTTCCATTTCAGAGCTGGTCAGCTGGGTTTGAATCTATGTGATGCCAGAAAATATTCCCCACACTTTAAACTGTGGGAGCATTATAAGATCGACAGTTGATCCCTTAGTATAGATAGTTTGTGTTAAGGTGTTGCTGACTGGCTGCTTTCCCACTTGTCAGTAGTTCAAAATCATATATGGTGGCAGTTAGCCTTAGTAGCTTAGCCATAAAAAAAAAAAGTACAAGTATTTAACATTGTAAAATATAGCATTTCACACAAGCACCTACTTTGTAGTAAATTTCAACAATTAGACCATTATAATATTTAAATTCAATCAAAAAATGCTCATTAATATGATTTGTTAAATATGTAATTAATTTTTTTTTATGTAGGTTTGAGTAAACTAGTTGTTTTTGGAAAAGAAGCTTAGCTTATAAAGACTAAAATTTATTAATTCATCAGTCAAGTTCTGTCATCCTCACAAGTAAAAGACTTGTTATAAAACTAGGGAGATTATACAATAACTTGTTTCAAAATTATTGGGGGGTGGGTGGTCATCAATGAGGTGTTAACACAATGGAATTACCTTTATCTTGATGTAATTTGAATTTAAGAATTGTTTTTAAATGTAACTTCTTTTTTACAATGACAGCATTTATATAAATGTTGTTATGGAGTTCTCTCTTGTGAATTCTCATTGGTAGAATAAAAATAACAGTTAATTAGAATGTATTTTTCAAACCAAGTAATCATAAAGACACGTACTAGAATTCCTTGTAGGTATAATTTTTGTTACCTCAATTGATTACTGCCAAATCTCGGGAACTAAAATATAATAGCATAATAGGAAAAATGTTTTCGCTATGCATATTTGCCTGAGATAGCAATACATTTTATTACCTAATTTGAAAATACAGTTTTGCGAGTTTTAGTACTTAATGTCATCATAAGTCTATGAAATGCGAGATCCCTGACCCAAAGGTATTTTGACTGATACTGTTTGAGTTGGATTATTTGCTAGAATAATTAATTGATGCTTTTGAAAACACCTACACTTTATTTTTAATCATTTGTGATGTATAACCTTTAAAGATATATGGAGTCTGAAGACAATCTTAGACAAGTTAAATGTATATGAACCTTTATTTTGAAAACATAAAAGTAAATCAGGGGATAGTGTCTTTGTTATCAATTATATTTTCATATTCTTTATATACCCCTATTTTTCTTTAAAAAAAAACATTGCATTTGGTCTTGTCAATGTATTAGAGGAAAAAGAAAAAATGGCTATTAATTAATAAAGTAATAATAATAAAAATTAATAAGTTAAAACTTTATAGCAAGAAGTAAGAGTACATGACACTAGTTGTGTGTGCCTAATAGATGCTTTTGTCAAGATCATTGTTTATGGTAATGTTAAATCTCTCTCTGGTATCAGGGAATACATAAAGATCCATATAACATTTATACAGGAATTATAAGTTGTGTTATTGGATTTAAAGGTAAGTATACTTATTTTAACTTTCTGTTGCGGAAGCCTAAAACATAAATTATATAGTTGCAAGTATAATAAAAAAAATTTAAGTTATCCCTAGTTTGGCAGATCACTGTAATTATGTTAGTCTGAGCCAAAGTAGGGATAAAATTTAAATATTAAGTAATTCTCAAATCAAATTATTTACCCAAAATAGTGCATCATCATCACTTATTTATTAAAAGGTGCTGCCCAAAAGGAATCAACTTTGGGCATGATGGTGGGTAAAACAAAATTGGTGGCCTAGCTAACTAACGAATGGACATTTGCTGTAAAATTCTTATAAATGCTACAAGTATACCTACCAGTTTGGCTGCCAATTATGATTTCATTCCTTTAAATTGTATGCTGAATCCTTTATTGGCCACTTTTTTTTTCCACACCAGAGATGTTTTTGATTAGATATCATCACTTTTTGTCAATACACACCAGTAAACCACTAGATAGTAACCCATATTAACTTTAGGATTGCAACCCTAGTACTTTACATAACCAACCAGATTCTTTAAAATATATGGTGGTAATTTTCCTCTCCAAAACAATGTTAATAGCTTTCTTTATAGCAACGCCATGGAATTTAGATTAACAGTTTCTTGTCATCAAACCAACGAATAGTGGGATTGACCATCACATTATAACTCCCCCACGGCTGAAAGGGCGAGAATGTTTGATGGGACGGGGATTCGAAACCGTGGCCCTCAGCCCTAACCACCTATAACAGTAAATATGGACAGTTTTTAGTTTTTCGTCATTCGGATTAAAGACGGCTGATTTAGAGCAGCAAAACTATAAGGTGAAAGTATGTGCAGATACACAAGCATTGGTTTGGCCAAGCAAACTAGATTGGCAGTTTCTAGCTCAAATTTTCAAAAGAATCATACAGGTGGATGGTTATTATTGATTATTCATTTCAACGTTTCAGTATATATTTACTAAATTTTATGAAATTACCCTAATTAAAGATATTAGCTTAAGCAATTAGCGTAAATAATGATGCTTGATACGGCTGTACCGATTGCATGGGGGAAAAGATTAGCCCAAGAGTTGGCGGTGGGTGGTGATGACTAGCTACCTTCCCTATAGTCTTTCACTGCTAAATTAGGGACGGCTAGTGCAGATAGCCTTCATGTAGCTTTGCACGAATTTCAAAACAAACCAAAATTTACTCTTGGGTGAAGCTGTAGTGAAAATGTTAGAATGATAGCTCAGTTTTTCGCTGAGGCGTACGTACAAATTTTCATCAGTTTGAGCTATTCTTATTGAATATCATTGCGCATGTGTCCTATATTTGCACCAAATGAGACTACCGATTGTAGGTTAAAAATATCTGTCGGTGTACCAAATTTAAAATAATCCATAAAAAATTAATTGTTTTTCTATCAAATAAAGTTTCCGTACTTTTGGTGCGAATAAAAAAAAAAAAAAGGAAGAAACTCAATCAAAATTGGAGATGTTATATCTCAGGTATATCTTTATGGATTACCTTGAAATTTATTATGTGAAGTAAGAGTTCAGTAGAGCACATCCACTAAAAATGTGTTAGTTTGAATAACCACAGTTCGAGATACAGAACGTGGAATATCGCTAAGCTATCACTCCTATAACCTGCAGCAGGTTGTTTTGGCCCCGAGACACACTACCGTATATCTTGATATTTTGGTATCTTATTCGGTACAAGAAAGTAATCATTGGGACCTCAGACAGAAGAGTTCTGTGAAAGAATTAGTGATAACGTAAGTTTTTTTTACGCTTGTCTGGAAATGTCGCATACCTACTGACTTGCATGAAAATTAATTGAAATAGTTAAATTTTGATTCACTCTATAAACACGTACATAGTGATTTAGGCGGCGTTATAAGTACAATAAGCTTTAGTTTTGCCTGGCCAATATTGTGAAATAGTCATTGTTAATATTAGGACCTTTTAAAGGTGGTTTTAAACGAGCTATTTTTTATGGCCGCCCTTTTGTGTCACCATGATCCCTATATACCACCGTACTTAATGATGTGCTTGATTAAAAAAAAGAAAATAAAAAAATATCTGAGGTATTAAATCTCATTATTAAAATGTTCCAAGATTGACATAAGATTTGATAGTACTTTTTACTATATCCCGGCTATTAACATCAGCACCATGAAAGTTTAAAAATATCATTTAACAAGTAAACGTGCCCATCTCCAGTGACGGGAAAAGTTTAAGTTAATCTAATTTATTTCATGGACACCTGAGCTGCCTGTACCACCCACCGCGAAAAGTAATTGTTGAGCATTTCAGTTATGCTAAGAGCCGCTCAACAATAACATACAATATATATACACACATATATTATTCATTATGTTACGTCATATTTTAAAATGTAAATGGTGGTGTGATTAATTTTTAACAATGTAGTGTAGAATATCCAGCTTGCGAAATAACATTTCTCATCAACATTATTCATGCCCGTTCTCCCGTCATTTCAATTTTTAAAATGGTGAATGTTGAGCTGAAACAGACGAACGCGCGGACAGACACCACGGTTCGCAATATATATATATATAAGATGTAATTGTAAACACAGTATTTTTCGTTATGAGAAATGTGACCACGCTGTGGTATTACACAGTTAATATTTACGCGGTTTTGAAAACGTTTTATCTATATGCGAAGCTGTGAGTATGAGGATTTAAAAGTGTGTTAATTATATTACACTTCAACATCTTAGGTGCACGCTGAGAAGATAATGCAAATCAAATGTTTTCAATTGTGATGGGAAGTGCGTTTTACTTTTCTCTCTCCTCTTTCGTAGTACATAGTTTTTTTGTATTAAGTACCTACACATACTGAGATCAGACCTCTGATCTGCAGATGGTTTACCACAGCCGTTCTGTTACCAGCCTCTGCCTTTAATTAAACGACATTCCTGCTGGGCTGCAGCACTCGGACCTTCCCTGGAGTGAACAGAGACTTGAATTTTGCTGTTTGTGTAACCTATAACGTGCTGGGTAAAAGCATTTTATTGAAATGAATTTCCGAACCCGGTCTTGTTGTTGACCATTAGCAGAAG